TCTAAATACTAAAACAAAAACATGAAATCTACTGGAAGAGAAAGTAGGTAGAAATCTGAAGACATAGGGGTAGACAGCACAAGAACAAAAAAACAAACTGCTTATGAAATACTGCAAAGAATCAGCAGCTGAGATCTCATCTTATGGAACCAGTTATTTCACATCAAAAGATATCACCAACAGAGTAAGAAGAAAACCCACAAGCTGGGAAAAATCATTTAGCTGAATTTACCTCAGCGAATGGACTTCTATTGAGAACACAGGAAGAATTTTTTAAAAAGAAATAAATAAATCAGGCCTGCAAAATTCAAAGACCCAATCCAAACATGGGTATCTGAGATGAGTACACATTTCTCAGATAAAGAAATACAAATGGCAAATAACTATAGGGAAAAATTTTCAATATCATTGGTCATTCCAGAAATACAAATTAAAGCAACACTGAGATACCATCTCATATCAGAAAGAATGGCTATCATCAAAAAAAAAAACAACCAGCAACAAATGGTGGTAAGGCTGTGGAGAAAAAGGAACCCTTCTCCAGTGTTGGTTGGAGAGTAAACTGCTACAACTAGAGCAGAAATCAGTTTGGATATTCCACAAAAAACTATAACTAGAGGTCTCATTCAACCCAACTGTTCCCCTTTTGGATATTTTTCCAGAAGAATTTTAAACACCATATCAAGTGATATATGTGTACCCACGTTTATAGCAGCACAATTTGTAGTAGCTAGATCTTGGGGGGAAAAAACACAAATGCCCACCAAGTGAGGAATGGACATAAAAGATGCAGTACTTTTATACAATGGAGTTCTATCCAGCTATAAAGAAAGATAAACTCAAAAATTTTATACGTACATGAATACAACTAGAGACCAGATTCATGAGTGAAATAAATCAGACCCACACGTGTTAACATAGTATTGTCTCCTTACCATAAGAAACTGGAAGAATAAACAAAATCCAAAAGATATAATAGATATTGTAAAAGGGAAAAAAAAAACTGCTCCAAAACAAAGAATAACCAGGATGAGGAAAGCAGAAAAGAATGAGGAAATGCATACATAAATATTATATAATCTGTGTATATAAATATTTATATATAACCTATATTATATATATAATACACACACACACACATACACACACACACACAAACACACACACACACACACGATAACTAAGGTAATTGTACGCCTAATTTCTATTGGTTTATTGAAGAGAAAAGTTAATGCTTAATTTTTTTTATCAATTTTGCATACCTATATCTAATAATCTAAACAACTACTTTGAACTTAATAGTATCCAGTATAACAACCATTGTTAATTTTCTATCACCTCATTTTGAATTTCTGCATCAATTTTAATGTGTTTAATTTTTTATTCACTTTAAAAGAAAAAAAAAACAATAAAACTCAGGTTGAGAAAGTCTTTAATGTTCTACGAAAATACAAATCTTAATTAAAATCCTTCAGTACATACCTTAGAAGTGGTATCTTTCAAACTCTAAGGTAAATTAAAGGTATTTCCAAACACGTAAAATAAGAATATCAGGATCAACAAATTCAAAGATTTTTCTTTTTTGATGTCCAGGGTCTCACTATGCAGCTCTAACTCCTAGTGATCCTCCTGTTTTCAGCCTCCCTAGAGCTGGGAATTTAGGTGCCCGGACTTGGTCATGGGCTGGGGAAAGGAGAGGGGACATGTGTTGCCAGGGATCGATCCCCGGCCTCTGCTCTTGCCTATGAATGTGCTTAGTCCACTGAGCTATCTTACCAGCACTTCAAAGAATCTTAATAATAAACTTGAAACAAGAGCAGGTCAAACAGCTCAGAGGACTAAAGCACCTGCTTAGGCAGACCCAGGACTGGGGCTCCATCCCAGGCAGGCTTGCTGTGCTGGCTCCACCCCCAGGCACAGTGAGCCCTTGGTTAAGACTGGGCCTCCTAATGCTGCTCCTCTAATCCCAGCCCTTGGAGGCTGAAAACAGCATGATCACTGTGAGTATCATCCTGTAGACCATGTATTAAACACATTAAAAAAAAATTAAGACAAAAAAGGAAAAGAAAAAATTATATAAACGAAACAAGAATGAATGTGTGTAAACATATATAAATAGACATTTTTGGGGCCACAGATATAGCTATATTTTAAACTACATACAAGTGCCTGCCTTGTAAGTGCAAGATCATGAGTTCATTCTGATACCAAAAAAAAAAAAAAAAAACCAAAAAGTTTTTAGTGTAAATGAATAGCAATATGTAATCATACTGTAAAAAGGAAGAGATATGAGTAAAATATCACAAAACTAGCACAGAAACCAAGGAAAGATGACTGACATTAAACCATCTGTGGGTTATAGAGGAGGCAGGCATTATTGCTTCCTTTTGCCCCTTATAAGTACATGCGTGTGTATTCCTTTTCTGTTATAAAATTGACGAAAACATCATTAGTTTTCTAAAATGGTAGGTGAAGAAAAATGAAACAAGAAAAAAATCTGCATAAAAAGTCGAAGAAAAAATATAAAAAAAGAAAATGAAGAGAAGGAAGATGAGGGGCAGAAGAAATACGAAAAGCAAACGAGCATAGAAATTCAAAATGAAATATTACATATGAATTCTAGTATGTTTTTATAATCAATACAAAAAAAGTAAAATTACCAGATAAAGACGAAGATTACCATACAGATCAAAAGAGCCATCTATATACTGTTTACTATATTACTATATTTATTAATATGCCTAAAATATAAGGTATGAAAATAGGATAAACTACATTTGTCTTGTTTACTCAATCTCCACAGTATAATCTGGAAAATAATAAAGATGCTCACGAGTATTTTTTAAAGAATACATTTTACAGGTACAGATTAAGCTAGAATTAAAAGCTTCTCATATATGCGTATATCTACTCAATTCTTGAATTCAGTCAGTTTCTAACAGCCACAGTAAGACTGAAGAAAGTTAAAATCAAAGCCATATTTTTTCAATCAACAAATCTCTGCAGCATTTCTTATGTAATAAACAAGGTGCTCAGTAAACAAGTAAACATATACCTCATGTTACCATTAGCTTAGACTCTAAACAACAGACTGAAAGTAGCAAAATAGAAAAATAAATATAAAACCGAAATACACTAAAGATGTTCCACTTACTCTTCTTACTCTTAAACCTAATTCTCATGTCTAAAAAGTAGAGTGGGGGTTTTTTTGCTTTGTTTCGATTTTTTTTTTTTGGCAGAACCGAGGATTGAACTCAGGCCCTTGTACTTGCCAGGGAAGCGCTTATTCTACTGAGCTATCTCCCCAGCCCCAGGTATTTTGTTTTAAATAATCTTTTTCTTTTCTTTCTTTCTTTCTTTTTTTTTTTTTTTTTTTTTTTGTACTTTAGGGAAGGGTCTACAGGGTGTTCAGGGTCTCACTACTAGATCAGACTTGCAGTGATCCGCCCATTTATAGCCTCCCAAGAGCTGGGATTACAGGCACAAGCCATCATTCCCAGTCTCAACTGCCCTCTCAGTGTGCTGCAGGGGCGGGGCTGGCACAGCAGGCCAGGGGACTGAATCCCTGGCCCCTGTGCCCTGCTTGCAGGTGCTTTAATCCGCTGAACTATTTGGTCGGACCCTTGTTTTAAATAATCTTATGCTCAAGGACTGCTTTATATTATAACCTGGCTTCAGAAACTTGCAAAAAAAAAAGCTCTTAAAAAAGCAAAGAAATTGTCTTCCATATCATTAACCTCCAACTATAGTATGCCATACTAGCCTTTCACCTCATATCTATATACACATACAATTATTAAGTAAAAACATTCATTTCTCAGACACTTAAAAGGTTTAACTGATCTTGCTCAGAGGCTTAGAGCTCAGAAACTGACTACTTAGACATTTGACAACTTCTATATAAAGTTTTCGAGAATATTCTGGGTTTAGGTACTGACCTAATTCAGTTATCATACAGTGTCTATATACTGAAATCTCTCCTTTCAGACATACAAATTATCGCATAACAATATTCTTCAGGTACATCTGGGTTCTTATTTCGTTTTTAACAAGTCTGTCTCCGATTATCCAACAACCTGACATTTTTTTTTTTTTGGGGGGGGGGCGATACCAGGGATTGAACTCAGGATCCTGTGCTTACCAGGCAAGTGCTTATCTTACTGAGCTATCTCCCCAACCCCAATTTGACAATTTTGAATATACAAAGTTTATTAAAACTATACTCATTTTTAACATCCTCACACTCCTATTTCTTAAAGGCATCAAATATTAATCTCATTCGAAAAGCCTAAAACTCGATTTAGGGGCCAGTGAGATAGCTCAGCAATCTAAAGTGCCTGCTTAGGCAAGCTTAGGCAGGCTCAGGGACCACGGTTCAATTCCTGGCAACGAATGTCATGCCAGCCCTGCCCCAGGGTGGGCTGAGCCAGGCAAATAAATAAATAAATAAATAACTATTTACAGAAACAACTATGATAATGTTGCCAGATAAAAATAAAAGAAATTAAGTTAAATTTGGACTTTAGATAAGCTTATTTTAGTAAGCTTGAAATTTAAATTTTATTGGGAATCCTACATTTCTGTCTACTAAAAATAACACCACAAACCATTCCCATCAAAGGAAGTAATTTATAGTACTTCTTGCTATATCAAACAAGAATTGGCAAGTATAAGTACAACACCAAAATTCAGACAGTCTCCAGGCACAATGATAGTTTGTGATACTGATTATTCTTTTAAAAACCATCTTAAGTTTTTAGGAATTCTATGAAACAATTCTTTAACCCCATGAGCTATCTGTATGACCAATAACTAATACAAAATGTTCTACTGAGTCTATTTCTTCATGCACATAAATGCCATGTATTCAAATTTCAAAAATTGCTGAGGCACAGCAGCTACGCATTTGAAGACACTAAAGTTTTAAATGAAAATGACATATTAGTGACATCTGCTTAACTTGGTAACATGCCCTGATACTGTTCAGGTAGATAAATTACCTCACAGGATTACTGGTCAAAGACACTCGGAGTGACTCCAGGTATGTGGCAAGTCTCTCATCTGCAGACCCCATTTTCAATTCATGGATGAATTCCTGAGGTGAGATCTGTCGTCTACTTTTAAGACCTCCCTGTAAAATAAGTTTTTAAAAAAGTATGTCATAAATATTATCCATGCAATAACAAATTAATCCCACCTCTCCAACTAACAGCTGCGGACAGCTACCATGACTACTATTATTTCAAGGTGTGAAGGAATAGTATTTTACTTCTCCTACCCATAAATCTATAAATTCATAATAACTGGTATCCACAAAAAAATAATAACATAGTATCAAAAGGAGAGTAACCTAAAATAAATGTTTTTGCAAATACACGCTGTCCTGAAGAAATACTAGTGTATATCATAGGAAATGCCTTGAAGTGTAGCAGTACATTCTAGTCACATTCAAAGAAATATGAAAACTCAATACAGGAAATACCTTATTAAAATCAACATTCTAAGCAATACAGGAAAAGCTTTTAAGTCACTGATGCATACAATTACCATGGAAGGTCTTATTCTAGGCAATTTAGACCTAGGAATTATCAAACTCAAAATCTAGGAGGGGAGAAACAGCAGGATATGAATCAGATTGTGCTGAAAACTATTACTTTGATGCTGAACTTAGAGACCCAAAGAAGGAATACAATACCTACATAGGTCAGGGCAGCGTGGAGAAGCCTGAGTTACAGGGGAAACGTAAATAAGAAACTATGTAATATAAAAACTAGAAAGGAATTCAGACCAAAATAAAGCAAGTGCACACACAAAGAAAAATACTAAAACAAATACAATTCAAGATAAAGGACACCACATGGAGTGTCAGAGTACCACTGCACAGTTAGCCTCCCCAGGCGAATCTGAGAAGCATCCAGTCCAGTATGAAATACAGGTTGGACGTGAAGTTCTCTCCCTTTGACACTGAGGGCCTGCCAAGTGCTGAATACTGTTCTAAGTGCTTAAGAATAGTGTAGCAAAGTAGAAAAAATGGCCTCCTTCATCCAGCTTCATTCTAGTTGGAAGAAGCCAATAAAATAATCAAAGTATATTATAAACAGAGTTGCAGAGAAGATAAAAGCAAGAAAAGGTAAGGAGGAGCTCACTGTGAGGCATACAATTTTAAATAAGGTAGTCAAGGAAAGCCTCACTTCAAAGCCCTCAAACTTGAGTGCGTAAAATGCTGATGAAGTAAGAGAGATAACCATGCAAGTATATGAAGGGAGAAAGGGAGGGAGGGAAGAAAGGAGAGAGGGAGGCAGCCAGCCAGCCAGGCATGAAAACTTCACAGCCTCCAGCTATGAAAAGAATTTGGAATTTCACTCTGCGACACAAAGCAGAGACTTATTCCACAATGATACGCACGTACATTTGTGTGTTCATGCCTGCATGCCTGCATGCATGACACAATGAGGATGTCAAAGTCATAGAAAAGAAAACCCTACATTGTATCTCTAAGTTTCAGATTAAACAGTCAAGTGCAAAGAAAGGCGCTGTACATGTTCAAAAGCAGATTAGTTGAGGTGGAATTTTTTTTCCATTTCACTTGTTTTATAGTTTGCAGTAATTTCATTTGAGAAAACATGATCAAAGTACAAAACAAATTAGTACTAGGAAGACAGGCTGGTTTTATTCACATCAGCATCAAAGTGGAAATTTATTAAATAGAAAAATCACAAGACAGTCACTAAGGATAAAGAAAATAAAGTTGTGATGATGAGAGCAGTGAAAATGAACATTCAATTTTTACTATCATCACTGATATCATAAAGATACATTCAATACTCACTAACATTTAATCTATATTTTTCTGCATAAAACTACCAAAGTATTATTTGATCAGTACAAAAAAATTATACACACATATCAGTAAATAAGGTTTGACACTATGACTTGTTCCTGCCTAGCCCTGCTTCCTAATTAGTCTCCCCCTCTCAGATAGTAGCTTGTTTAGGATTTCTTGTTATCACGAGCAGTTCAAGCTTCCTTTCCTTGCCCTCTTGGCATAACTCGCATGAGGATGGAGACAACTCTCTGCCTGTGGCAGTCTACCTCCCCAAATAACAAATACATCTCCAAAAGGACTTAACATGCTGATTATATAACACTAACTACTCAATAGTAATAACACAAGCTAGCTTGTTAAGATACCAGTAAAGAGGCTTCACCAAAGAAGGTATATGAGCATAATCATAATGACGTGTTCAAGATCTCCTGCCATTAAGGAAATGCAAATTCAAACCACAAACAGTACTGCACATCCTCAAATACAGTGAGTATTTGAAGTATTTGAAATGTAGAATGGTACTACCACTTTAAAAAAGACTTGAGCTGCTGCTTTTAAAGGTAAATATAGATTGTCCACATGAGTCAGCGATTGCATTGCTTAACAAGGTGTTAAGCACTAAAAAAACAAAACAAAACAAAACACCACACTCATACATGTTCAGAATAGCTTTGTTCTTAAAAGACAAAAGCTGGGAAAAATTTCAAATGTTTGTCAATAAATTGTGGTATCTCCAAATAATACAATACTGCCCCATAAAAAGAACTCATTTCTGACAAAATACAATCAGATAACTGAACTAAGAAAATGAGGTTGTGTTAAAGCCAAATGAAAAAACAGTCCAAAGAGTCTGGCTCTGTTTCTGTGAGATCACCCCGGCCGGTCAGGTCTCTCAGTTGGGGCCGTGATAGCTCAGGCACAGAAACAGAGCTGCTAAACTTGAGTGTGTTCATTAACGGGTGGTGATAAGGAAGGGCAACATTTTAAATGCAAGCAGTAAACAGATTTTCCCCCCCCCCGTAAGTATTGGGAAGGACAGACTTAGCTATTGGCTCAAATAATTTTTTACATTGATTTTTCTCTGGTTTAAACAAGTTGTTGTCTCAAGGCCTCTGCATTTGCCCCTCAGAATCCTGCTTCTAACACTCCGTTTCCTAACCCTTACTACCACTAGTACACCCCGGCCAAGACTTACTCACATACATCAGTCAGGTGTGAACTGAGAGTGGCTCCCCAAAACCCTGCCATCCCCACAGGCCTTCTAGGAGCTATCGTACACCAAGTCCCCATCTATGTTTCATAACACTCAGTACCTGTATTAAAATAACCCAAATTACTACTTACTGAAAGACAGAAGGAGTGCCTACTGTGTTCCAAGCACTAGCTATTATTTAATCAGCTTATATGGCATGGATACAGAAGTGAAATAAAAGCCAAAATGATTCTTAGATTTTTAGTTTAAGCCAGAACATGGTGCCTCTTATTTAAATGGGGAAGCTGGATGAGAGTGAGTCAGAGGTGAAATCGCCACTTAGAGTCACCAAATGGCATCTTTCTAAGAAAATAACATTATATGGAGACCAGAATGAAAAGGAGGGAGCTAAGGAAATGGGGAAGCAAGTGGAAAAGCAAATACAAGACCGTGAGACAGCACTGAACTTGGCATTCTGGAGAGTAGGAGGTCTGACTATATTTCAGCGGGCATGACAGAGACACAGATAACAGGGATAGGAGAAGCCTGTACAAGCCTGATGCTAGAAGCTGCAGGTGGCTACAATGTGATCGCTCTTTTTTTATAGCTCTTAAGCTAAGGTTGACTTTTTAAAGATTTGGAAACAAGAAGAAAAGGAGGTTTTTTTGTTTGTTTGCTTTTTGTTTTTTGAAGAAAAAAAGGAAGGGGGAGGAGGAATGAGGGAGGGAGAATGGAGCAGGGGGAGGGCAAGAGGGGGAAGGAGGGGAGGAGATGGAGAAAGAAGAAGAGGAGAAGCAGAAGGAGAAGAAGGAGTAGCAGCAGAAGAAGCAGAAGCAGAAGTAGCCCTCAGCAGCACAAGCAACTGAGATGATACAAGATAGGTTCCGGCCTGAGTATAAACTGCTAAATTATCATGGCTCTGATTCAACATGGCTGAATCCCCAAAACAACAGTTTATCCTCCCAACAACCAGTTCCTCCTTGCTCCCTAGCTCAGTCCTGGATACCTTTCCTGTGCACCTAGGGAGCCCCAGTTGCTCCTTGTGTGTCCCTGAGCCTGCCCCTCAAACTCCACTCCTATCAAAAGTTCATAAGATCTCCATCCTCCTGTCTCAGGGCAGAGGATCACCCATCTCCCTGCCATCTAGCCTCCCAGTGTCCTCCTCCTCAATGGCAATAAACACCTTTCACTCCTGTCTTCTACATCTGCTTCTCGGCCATGCTGTCAAAAAAAACCTAACAATATGCAGCACACAAAGCCTAAAATTTGTATGACTTGCCACTTAAGAAAATCTTTGTCAGCTCCTTATAGGACCTTACAAACCATCATAAAGACTTTAGCTTTTATTTTAAGCAGAACAAAAACCAGCTGAGGGGTCTGCACAAACAAAAGTATAAAGTGTCTAATAGGTTATTCTAAGGACCTTGTGGCAAAGATCATACCCAGCAAATTGTGGATCAAAGAGCCTGCTTAGGAAGTTACTGCACTGTTGTATGAAGAGTACTGAGTAGCTTGGAAAGGTACCAGTAAGGGGAGGCACAAGATCTGACCACCATACAGGACTTGCTCATAACTGACATATGAAGTATGAATAACATAAAATTTAGTGATGAGGCTTTTAGTCTCAATGAGTTAATCTGCTGATAACTCTCAGTTTGACAAAAGCAGCAGTAATGATGGACTGGGGATAAAACTGCTCAGAAGTTCAAAAGGAAAAGCAAGAAAAGAGAAGAGAAGAGAAGACAAGAAAAGAGAAAAGGGACAGGACAAGACATGGACTACTATTCAGAAGAATAAAAGGGAGCAAAGTTGTAGGGCAGTATGTAGAGGGGAATCTTGAGTATGACTTAAGAGTACAGAAAAAAACACATTATATCTGCATTCTAATAAGAATGACCAAGCAGAAGAAAAATTAATGATCATGGTGGTGGTACAAGAACAGATGCAGGAAAACAAACAAAAGCCCTAAGCACAGGTGAGAGATATGCCCTACTATACAAGAGGAGAAAATGATATTATGCAGTTACAGGGAAATTTTTTCAATGTAAGAACAGCAAAGCCAAGTTTGATTCTGATCAATTTGGTGAATCACAACTAAAATATGACAGTCCTC